TGATGTAGCCAATGGTGCAGTCGTCGGGCAGGCGGATCTTCTCCGCTGTGCTCATGAAGTGGCCCCCACTGCGGGGAGACAGAGAAGAGCTGCAGAGGAGCAAAGCCTAGGGGGGATGTGGGTACCCCATGGGGTCTGGGCTTGGCCAGTGGGTGCCCAGCTCTAGCTTTAATTAAAAGTCAATTAGACTTGGGGGAACTGAGGTCCTTCCCAGCTTGAAGTCCCCTGCAGAAACCCCCAGCAAAGCAAAGAGAGCAAGGTGGTAGGACACGGTCCAACGTCCATCCCCAAAGATGTTGTCGCCGCTCTGTGCCCCACTGGGACCACGACGAGTCCCCACGGGAGAGCAATGCCAACACTCTTACCTGGCCCACGGGCTCATCTTCAGCGCGAGCCCCCGGCTGATACAAAACCCCGCTCCGCCCGTGGCAAACCAGAAATGCACAGGGTGCTACAAGAGAGGGGAAGCAACGGCAGTGAGACCTTCTCCCGCCGACCGGGGAGCAAACCCCAGCCCAAATTAAGCCAGCCCCAACCTCCCACCGCCCCCTCACCATCTTGTTCTCGCTGATCCTCTCCGTAGCCTGGATGGGCCGGTCCAGGCTGGGCTTCCCAATGTAGATGTCCTGCGTGTGGGGGTAGCTGGAGAGCAGCTTCACCAGCGTCCGCACGTTCACGTAATTGTCATCGTCCACATGGCAGAACCACCTGCGGTGGCAGCAGTGTCACGCCGGGCCAGGGCAGCTCCCCAGACCCCGTGCTGAGATACGGCCCAAAAATACAAACGGCCTCTGCCTACTCCGTCCCCTCCCTTGCAGCCCCACCGTCCCCCACGGCAGCCCTGGGCACTACTTACTTTCTGCCAGACTCGATGAACTTGTCGTACTCCACCGCCATCTTGCAGGACAGGGCCTGGCGGCTGTGGGCGGCCGAGCAGTTGGTGTTGATGACGTTTCCTGCGGGAAGAGACGGGGGTCAAAGCCCGGTGCCGGGGTATCCCATACGTCCCATCGAACAGCAATGCTTCACCACGCACATTCCAGGGGCACCAGGGGGATGGAAACCCCACGGATGTCCCTGATGCTCGGTGGCCTCCATGCCACATCATTTTGGGCAAAGAACGGATTTTTGGGGGAATGGCTTTTGGACCCACATGAGACAAGGGAAGGGATGAGCAAGGGATGTGGATGCAGCAGATGCACCAGGGTTGATGCACAGGTATCCCATGTGCTATGCATGACGCCACCCGACATCACCTCGCCCATCCCGGGGCCATGTACCAGCCACCCCAGGAGCGAGGGGGTGTCCGTGAGCTGGCTTCTCCACCCAGGACATGATAGCCAAAATCCTGCCCTATTCCCGCTGCCTTTTCCTGCAGCAGCCACCTGTTATTTGCTTGCCCAGCTCAAAGGCAATTGCTTCCCAGCCTGAAAAGGAGCCATTTGCATGGGGAGAATAGACCGAGCTGACCCTGGCCCCGGGGAGCGGCTGCCAGGGAAATGCTCCCATGAAACCCTGGCTGCGTTGCCCATCAATCCCAGTTCGCCCCAGGAACAAACTGGTGCAAAGGCACCCCACCCTGTTGGCGTGCGCCCCAGCAGCCTGATGCAGGAGATGGGCTGCTGCTGACTGGGAAGGGTCCCCAGGCTGCGCTCCCGGGCAGAAGGTGCTTTAGGCACCATCAGTGAAACAAATTGTCTCATTCTCAAGCCAGGTCCCTGTGGCGAGGGCTCCTGAGATTGGTGTCTAACCGGTGGCATTCTGACCGTTTTTTCGGAGTTCCCAGGGCAGGCTCCACATCAGCCGTGCTCCCCAGGTGGGGGTTCCTCAGGGGACCTGGCCAGGTCACACATGCAAAGGGGCAAGGGCCACAGACTCACGTGCTTGCTTCTTGAGGTCCTCATCCTCCCCGTCTGTGAAGATGAAGGTCTGAAAGAGAAGACAAGGCACCTCTGAGGACTGAGGAGTTGAGGCCACATGGTTCTGGACACCACCCAGCACAGCTGGGCAGCACTGGGGCTTGGTCCCGCTGGGGCGCTGGTGGTGACTTCTTCCTCCTTGCTAAAACCCAAAGCAGCACCAGAGAGCCAGGCAAACCCACGATCCTCCCCGTCTGTGAAGATGAAGGTCTGAAAGAGAAGACAAGGCACCTCTGAGGACTGAGGAGTTGAGGCCACATGGTTCTGGACACCACCCAGCACAGCTGGGCAGCACTGGGGCTTGGTCCCGCTGGGGCGCTGGTGGTGACTTCTTCCTCCTTGCTAAAACCCAAAGCAGCACCAGAGAGCCAGGCAAACCCACGACA